TAGTCTTTCTAGGCTTAGAAAAACTAGTCTTTAAAAAGGTATTTTTCTAGCTACTTTTAGTTTACTAGTAGGTTTAAGAGGTCTCTTTTATATACCTTCCTTACTAATAGAGGCTTAAAAGGCTAGCTTACTATAAATGCTTTATAGGAACTATCCTTTATAGGTATAGGATAAAGGTCGGAAAAAGAATTAAAATAAAAGAAAGATTAATCTTCTTTTATAACCGTATTAAGCCCTATACCTTCCTTTGCTTCTTAAAGTAAGGATAAAAAGGCAGCTAGGTAATCTTTTAAGAGAGGTGCTTTTCCTACCCCTTTAAGGGCCGAAATAAAAAGACTAATATAAAAAGCTACTTTTAGATCTTCTTATTCTATAAGAGGAAGTATAGGGAGGTAAGTATATTCTAGCTCTACCGCTTTCTTATAGTCTCCTTCTTTATTTAAATTATTTAATTTAATAGCTTCTTATTCTTTAAAGTTAGTATTATCCTTAACTACTTTAATATTAGTTTCTACTTTTATTTCCTTATCTAGGACCTCTTCTTAAGGCTATTAAGAAGGGGGAATTTAAATATTTTAAATTAGCTAACGTTAAGAGAGTAAAGGGGGCTATTATTCCCTCTTTTTATTAAAGAAGCTAGATTTATAGAAAATTATATCCTTAGTTAAAATAACCTTTTATAAAAGAGGAATCTAAATCTAAAAGATATTTATAGAATTATAACTAATAAAGTAACTAATAAAGGCTCTAAGATTAAGCTCTCTTTTCTTCTTCCTTTTTAGCTAGGCATCGGTAGTTATAAGGTATACTTTATAGCTATAAGTATAAAGGTAAGCTAGCGAGGCCCTCTTTTTTATAAAGAGCTTAAGGGGTAATTTTTAGTCTATTCCTTAGGTAGTACTTATAAGGTCCTTAGGGTCCCTAAGGGTCCGGTTCTAAAGGTAATAAGCGGTCTTAATAACTTCCCTTTAATGGTTATATAGAATCCTTATATTAAGTCTTATTATATAGGCCCTTTTTATTATAGCACCCCTTAATCTTTCTACCCCTCCGTTCTAAGCCTAGGTAATCGGTGCTAATAGGAAGGGTAATATACCCCCTTTTTAAAGCTAATTTAAGATATCCTTTATAAATAACTCTCTATTAAACTATATCTTCTTTACCTTATAGCTAAAGTAGGACTTTATTTAGTTAATAAAGTCTTAGAGGGCCGACTAGTTATACTTACTTAGGTAGGTCTATAAGAAATAAAGGAAGACTATCCTTAAAAAAGCGTCTATAAAATTTATTACCTTAATAAAGCTTTCTTAATCCTTAGAGAAGTTAGTTTAGTTAACTTAAATTTCCTTATATAGCTAGTCCGGCCTTAAAAGGGTTCGTTTAAAAATTCCTCTCTTAGTCTTCCCTTAGCTATAGTATTTATATTTAACGGTCTTAAGGCCCTTTATTTATACGCCCTGCTATTAGCTTAGCTTATATAAAGCTAGGGGGCCTAGGTAACTAAGTTATATATACTAAAGAAGACCGTCTCCTTAGGCTGCTAAAAGAAGGTCTTTTATAGTAGACCTATTCCTCTTAGTAGGGAAAGCTAACTTTTTAAGAAGTTCCTTTTTAAGGATAGGTCGGAATTTAAGAATAAATTAACCGAATTTTTCCTTAATAAGCTTAATCGTCTAACTCTTTTAGACTAGCCTTATAGGCTTAGAAGTCGTATCTTAAAAGATTCCTTCCTCTTAAAGAAGGTAGAAGGAAATTAAGCTCGTTAAAAATTAAGGGTAAAAGGCTACTCTTTTTCGTCGAAGAATTTATATAGACCTATTAAGTAATTTTATTGTAAAATTCACCCTTTTATATATTTCTATTTATATAGTTAATTCCCTAGTAATAAGGTATTCCCTCTATGCTTTTATAAAAGACCGGAATTATAAGAGGGTATTATAGATATTAAGGGAAGCGCCGGAATTAAAGATAGCTAATTTTTATAAGGGATAATCGGTAGGCTCTAATAGTTAGTCTTATCCTTATTAACTTATATAGAAGATAAAGGCCGGATTTACTATACTAATAATTTTTCTTTATATTTATAGGTTAAATAAAGGTAGCGGCGCTAGTTACTATTTTATAGTAACCTAAATCTTATTTATCTCCTTTTCTAATAAGGGGTCCTCCTTAAGAGACTATTATATTATTTCTTATAGCTTCTTTAAAGGGTTAAATCCTTTAAGTCGTTTTCCCTTAAAGACTTACTAGTATTATAATAACCTATAGCCTAGGGATTTATAGGCTAGGCAGCTGTTTCGTTTAGTCTTTTATTTTTTTAAGAAATCCTTGTCTTAGTTTAGAAGGTCTACTTAAAAACCCCCCCTTTTTACCCCTTATTACTAATTTTAATAAAGAGGTTCGATTTCGACTAGTTCCTTAATTTTTCGACTAACGGACTAATAGGTCTATTAGGGGACTAGTCGGGCTAGACGGACTACTAGGGCCGGGCCCGGAGTAGTAATCGGAGCCGGTGCCGGGATAGGGGCAGCCGTTAAAGATAGGGTCGAGGCTGTCGAGGGAGGAGGATCCGGAGGGGCAGCAGCAGTAGCAGCAGTAGCGGGGACCGTAGTAGCAGGGGCTATAGTAGCTATAAGGGCAGTAGGTCGAGCTATCTAGGTCGAATACTAGCTATAAAGGAATAAGACTACTTATTATTATACTCTAGTAGCCTCTTTATTTAGTTCCCGGCTAGCTTCTTAAAAGATAGCTAAGTAACTATTACTAATAAGCTTTCTTAGTATAGATATATCCTATAGTACCTAGTAGAAAAGAGCTTTAATTAGGAAGTATTAATTAGCTTCTTTAAGGATTTCTTCTTACTTAGCTAGCTATAAAGAGGCTAAAAGGTTCTTAATAAAAAGGGCTCCTAGGTAGGCCGTATAGGTCTTCTTAATATAGTTAGTTATATAGCCCTTTAAGGGAGCTATTAAGATCTTAAGCTTTAAAAGCTACTACCTAAGAGTCTCTTCTTCTTAAAGAGAGATTAGCTTTATAGTACTAACGGATTCCGTTATAGCTATATATATAGTAGTTAATAGCTTTATCCTATAATAGTATTTCTTACGGTAATTTTTATAGTTACCTAAGGTAGTAGAAAAAGCTCTCTACTATATAGAGGTTAGCTTAAAGAAGAGGGTAGCTCCCTCTATAAATTCTATTACTCTAGAATAAAGAGGGGGCTTAAGAGGGTCCTACTTATTAAAGAAGACTAAATTATAAATAGTCTTATCTATTAAAGCCTATAGCCCCCTTACTTACTTATCCTAATCTTAAGGCTTTATAAGACTCGTCTTATAGACTATAAAGGTAGTAGAGGAATTATTTATTAATATTATTATAGAAGAAGGTAGAAAGGTTAGTTAAAAATTAGCTTTTCTAGTAAAAAGGGTAAAAGGAAGCTATAAGGGATATAAGAAAGGTGCCTTTTATAATAGCTAGAAGGTATAGGAGTTCTATTCCTCTTAGGCTTATAACTCTTATAAAGAGATATATAAGAAGTATATAAAAATATATAAAGGAAAAATTAAAAGTAAGGGGTCGGATAGGCAGGGTAAAGCTTTTTAATTCTTATAAGGGTAGTAGTTATAATAAGGGAGAAATTATTATATTGCCTTATTTATCCCCTTTTCCTCTATCTAACGCCTATCTTTATACCTATTTAGTATCTCGATTAATAAAGAAGATCCTACTTAAAGAAGCTACTAATATCCTCTTAACTACTAAGCCTTTTACTAGTTTTTCCCCTTTATTCTAGCCGTTGCCGGTATATCTATCTTATCTCTCGCTACCTCTATAAGAAGCTATCGCTACTTTTACTTCCCCTCTTATCCCTACCCTCCTTCTATACTTCTTTTTAGCTCCTTCTTCCTTCTTCTATACCGGTCTTTTAGCTTCCTAAGTCCCTCTTACTAAGGGATATCACCGAGAACTACGAAATTAAGCTACGCTTCGCGATAATAAAAGGTAAGGCTAGGACCTTATATAAAGGTATTTACCTTTAATACTAGTTTAAGTATTAGCTTAAACCTTAGCTATTATATATATAAAGTAGTATAGGCTATATATATATATATATATATATATATATATATATATATATATTAAATAGTAGTAGGTATATAGTTAGATCTTTTATAATATATTATTACTTTTAATAATAAATACTTATAATATATCCTTTTACTTATTATATAATACTTATATAAACTCTTATATAAAGCTTTTTACTAGACTCTTATATTTATACTTAATACTTATACCTTCTTATACTTATATATTATAATTATAACTAGAAATAATAATAATAATAATAATAATAATAATAATAATAATAATAATAATAATAGTTTTCTTTTCCCTTTAGCTTTAAAAACTTATTTAGTAGAATAATTAATTAAAGATAAACTAATTAAGCTATTATATTTAATACTTAATCTTAAACTTAGCCTTAAACTTTAAGCTTCTTTAAGTAAAGACCTAACATTATAATATAAACGCTTTTATTCTATTCGCATTAGTTATCCCTATCTATTTTAAAACGCCGCCGCTAAATCTTCTTTAAAATGCTTCGCGGCTTAACGGGACGCGACCCGCTCCCGGAATGCTCTCTTATATGCGTTTGAATAACGCTCCTAGGAGTATTACTTCCTCCCGGGAGATTATCAGAGTTTCGCCCGAATGACGTCCGTCCAAGTACATTAAATCCCATAGGGAGCGGCGAACTAGCCCTCGAAATAACAGCTTGGGAGCGTTGGCGTGTGTTGAGGTGCGACATCATGCTCGCCATAACCGTGTGCGCATCTCCTACCTGCGAGGGCGGCGTCGATGGCATCCCGAGAACCGGATAGGCCGTCATAGAACCGCGGCTTGAGGGTCGGCTAAGGGGGCTGTACCGTGCTTCGCTTGCCAGTGTTAGACGGTCGTTATAGACAGGGGCTCTAGCCAGGGACCGGCCGGCTCTAGGCGACGATGCAGTAGAATTCCGGCTTGGTGACGAGGCGCCGGTGGAGCTATAAGCCACGGTTTCTATTCTCGCCTCCTCTAGGCCGGCGGGCGTGTCACTTTCGGCTCGTAATGATCCCGGGTCCTCGTTAGTCACCGCCTTTCGAAGCTCTTCGAGATCTAACGGGCCCGAGGGCAACTTGCTCAATCTCCGTATTGACCTCTTGTTCTTCTCCACGAATATACTCATTGCCCTCGACGCTCCGGCATTCTCTCGATTGGCAACCACACTCAACACGCCAGTGCTCTTCCCTCGCTCCTGGTGCACGGCGTTTAGCGTGGGTTGGGCCGGCGTATTGGCGCGCGCCCCTTGACGTGCATATTCCAGACTGGATTGGACCTGCGACATGAGCTTATCAAAGTCGATCTTCTGATTTGGGCTACTTCGAGACAGGTAGCGTGAAGAATGCTGCTTGGTGGCCACATTGCTCTCCGCTCCATTCGCGAGGCCGAACAGGCTGCCGTCGTGTATGTACCGCCGGACCAGAGCCCATCGCGAACGGGCCGGGTTGAGTTCCAACTCGGGACGATAGACTGAACATTGCGCCAGCTGGGCGTAGAATGTAGCTAGTCGACAAGCCATGCGCTCCAGTATCTGGAGCAGGACCGCAGAAAGGGCGATGAGGCGGTCAGAGCTGTGGTCGGGGTCATCTTCAGTATCCGGCGTGGGAAAGTCTGCGGCAATGCTATCAAACGCGTCCATGCCAATACAGGCCTCCTGCCGAAGGTCCTCGAGAAGCTCAATGTCAAGTTCGACGCTCTTCGCTGCATAGGCAAAGACGCCGCGTTCTTGAAACCGCAACGATGCGTCCCCGTCACATACAAATTGTCCCACGAGCCCTACCTCATTAGTACAGGCCGCGGCGTCGGCGCTTAGTTTTGCTCGGGCGACGGTGCCGAGTACATCCGGCAGCTTCGTGTCCGATCCGGGACCGCTCGTGTTGGCGAGGACAAAGGACAGCCTGAGAACAAGCTCCTGCAGCTTAGCCCCGAATAGAGCTGCGAAGCCCCCTTGTAAAAGTCGGCTTTGATAAGCATAAAACGTTCGCACAGCGATGATGTTCGGAAGCGTTTCCCGCAGCCAGATGTTATTGCTGCCGGCTGGACTGTGCGACGAGGACGATTCCAGTGACGCGCCCATGATCTCGTACATCTCGAACTGATGCGACACCAGCGTTTCAACCGTTGTGCGGAGATAGGAAGCCCATAGGTCATAGAAAGTCGACAGCTCGTTTTCCCCATGATACTCTGGCTTTGGCGTCAAGTGCCCGACAAAGTACTTGGTCAGCAAGCTTCTCACCTCGGGGTTGTTCGTGTGCGCCAGGTTATCAAACGATTTTGAGCAGTCAACCCCGGCATTTGATTTTATAATCAGTGTTCCTCCCGGGTGCATCGGGCAAAAGTCCGTAACATCGTAGATGCTTCCATGTACGCCGATCCACATACGCGATTCTGGCCGGTGGCCGGTGTGCAAAGCTAGCTGCGAAAGTGGGATAGTAGGCAAATTGCAAGGGAGAGGCCTCGGCGTCACGAATATGTCGAGCATAAACCGTCTTTCAGCAAATGCCTTGTTTAGTATGAGGTCAACATTGTCCATCGTAGCCGTTCGGTACTTGTAAATTGCATTTCGGATTCCAGTCATTACTGCGTCGAATACGCCAAGGGATCCGCAGACGTAGAGATGGCCGCCCAGGCCTCCTTGCTTCTTCGACATAACGAGGTCGCAGATTGTTGAGCCTTGCTCCACGAGGAGGGCGTCGATGTAGCGCGGTGGGACTTGCTTCTCCACCAAGTCGTGTGCCTCGGAGTCGTAGGCCAGGCCCCTCGAGTCTCTCGAAAATGCCACATGGACTTTCATAAAGTCCAACTTTACAAGTTCGCGCAGTTCGTCTTCGAAACAGAACTTCTCGCGAGACTGGACCCCCAAGTACAAGTGATTTGTGCCACCAGACAGTCCGCTGGCGGCTAGTCGAGCCTGCCAGAATCCTCGAAACGGGGCAACCCCGCTCCCCCCCGCGAAGAACGCGCAAGGCGCCATAGAGTCAAAGGGCAACTGGAAAGCTGCGGGGCGAGAGACGCCAATGAGAATCTCATCGTTGGATGGCATTTCTTCGCAAACTGGGAGTGGGTTCAAGAATCCACTGCTGACACCGACTTGTGTCGTGTCTTCCTGTCTAGCAAACGTGGAGTAGAGTTTGTACTCGGCGCGTGACACAACCAGGTCGACGGTGCTCGGCAGAAGTTCCTCGGCATAACTCGCGATCGAATATGTCCGGGGGACTTCCAGAGGAATTAGCTCGGCCAACCACGACAGGTCTTCCAGGCTGAAAGCCCTGTCCCAGATGTGCGGCGATGTGTCCATGAGCGCGTCCTGGAGCATGTCTCCCAACGAGCCACGTACTGGCCACTCGTCTGTAGCCAAGACTTGGAGAACAGAGGGAGATGAAGCGTGCAGGAGGGTGTGCACCTTTAGCGCAAGATCCTTGGTGATGGGTGCAAGGTGCCCGTGACGGAGAATATCCGTCACCGTCAGCTTTCGCCAGTTGTTCCGTTTAACAGACGCGAGATGATTACCGAAGCGATTCCACGTGTCTTTGAAGTCGACTACACTGTCGATATGCTCCTCCAGGCCAAACGCAGCGGCAACTTTGGCGCACTCCTTCCAGCTGTTCAGTGGCATTACCGCGAGACGATCACCGGGCATGAATGTGATTCCTGTCTCCTGTATGTCCAAAGTTACGAGGGCCATTGAACGGTTCGGATCCGAGTCGACGGGCATTCTGTTCAAGACTCGGGAAACATAGCGACACTCTTCAAAGGTGCCTCGCATCTGGTGGGGCTCGACAGACAAGTTTCCGCGGTAGGGCTCAAGACGTTCTTTCATGGCTTCAGAGAACTGGCGATGTGTCTCCTCCCATGGCCTGGAGCCATCAGCCGCGCCAGAGGCGCCATTGGTCTCCGAGCGGCCTGTCTTGGCCGCAACCTCGAGTATGCCGAATACCTTGTATCGGTGTACTCCCATAAATCCGCGTTCGCCTGTGTATGCTTCGACAATGCCATCCAGAACGCCAATAAGGCGTGGATCTCCAGACTTTTCGACAAACTCGGGAACTCGATAGTGATACTCTATAGCCGCAATAAAAGCACGCAAGTTGGATGGAAGCCAGGCTCTGAGGTGGACACCCTCGGCGCCGAGAAAGGAAGTGTACCTACCACAGGTAAGTCGGTATTTGTTCTGCGCAATATCCTACCACGAGGCATCACTTACTTCTTCCGACCCAGAAAAGCATCCATCACCAGGTAAGGGGGAAATTGCAAGCCAGACGACGCAGGACATCGCTTGGATAGGGGCGCCGAAAATTTGGCCCAGCGTACCCACTGTTGAACTGGTACATAATTTTCACCAGAGTTGGGGTTTGTCGAGATGGAATGAAAGGCGTTGGGCATTCGTTCGAGGATCTCTTTCAGGCGAATCATTTCCTGCAGCAGATCTTCAACGTTCCTATGCATTACATGTTCTTGACAGGCGGCAATTGCGTCTGGCCCATGCTGGAAGGATGCTATTCAAGACGTCAGCCTGTGTAATTTGCAAACAGTAAAACAGACGGCCACAACCGAGCGTACCTGAAGTCTCTGCTACGCCCTTCAAAAAAGTCACTTCTGCTCTTTCGCCAAACATGGGCCAGCGTAGCTCCATGTTGTCGAAACGGGCGAGATACGGATAAGTAGAGGTGGCGTCCTTGATCTTCAGATTGTAGGAGGACTGGTCGACAAAGGTCAGGTGCGGCAGCGCTCGTCCCATGCGATGAGAAACGTGATAGTACGGCAAAGCGATGCTTCTTGGAATACCACACAGTTCTTCGCCGAGGTCGTCACCCATGAGACAGTTTGGCCGAGTTTTCGTGGCGAGGACCGAAGTCACGCCCTCATTGCCGTCGTATTTGTCTTCAAAGCGGTATATGGAACAGAGCAAGCCCAAAGACACAAGGGCAGCCCAAAGGGCACGATCTGGTATGACCGCCTCTGTCCCTTCGACGATTGGAAGCGCAGCAATGGCCTCACGAACACGGCCCCGTGAAACGCATCCCGGCATCCTCTCGCAGAGGTCAGACCATATGCGGCCGGCTGATCTTGCAAGAGCACCAGCTGCTTCGTCGTAGTCTGGCGGGCAGAAGCCGTGCTCGGTGCTAAGGTATCCGTCACGCCAGCCTGTTCGTGGGCCAATCTCTTCCGCTCGCAACATGACCTGCCTTGCTGGTGCTCCCAGCGCAACGGCAAGAACGTCTTGCTCTTTGCCATTGAGTGCGTCTAGCTCCGCTTGGCTCTTGGTAGCATCGATCTCTTTTGTGGAGGGGATGTTTCTGTACAGCAACTGATTGATGGACTTGCGTTCTCTGATGGCGAATGTCAGTATATGAACAAGTCATGAAACATAGAAGAAACAAGTACCTCATGCGAAGCCATTCGACAGGATCAACACCTCTGGGAATCTTCTTCTGTCAGTTTCACTACTGATACACTGACCTCGATGACCTGTTGGCTTACGTCAAATGCAACATGAAGGTCTCCTGGTTGGGAAAAGCCAGAGAAGGAGCAGCCTCGTGGCCCTCTGCTCTGTGGGCTAGATTCGGCAAAGCAAGAAGGGTACTTCTCCCTAATAGACCCGGCCACTGGGCAAGATCGCTCGGAGGCGGCTGTCATGTTGATTATAGGCCTGTTGAGCGAGGCTATACGTTGTGGCGGCCAAGACAAAGAAGTAATGTATATCTAGGAGTAAAAGAAGGCCAAAGGTCGAAATCCTGTCAAGAGCTTAGGCGAAGTTTTAAAGGAGTATGGAGAAGTGCTAGGCTAAATAAAAAGGACTTATCCGCATCGCTTTATATGCTCAATTGCTCTAACGTCTGCTGCCTCCATGACTCGATTAGACCGGACCAGAGACCATAAGTGTAAAGCTGAGACTGTTTTAGCTGTTTATGGGACGCAAATGGTTTGATTGACACAAAGTTACCCTTTGGACCTTTAAGGCTGAAAATTAACGGCTTCTAGTAGAGCGTCCTTTTTCCTTCTGTTCACTTTTCTTTATGAAGTATGAATTTATAGATTAATAATAGAAAGTGCTGTCGGGGCCACCGAATCGGGTGGGAGGTGCCGCCGCTTTCGGTTGTCTCGACAGTGAAGGGCAGGAGCAGCCCCCGATGCAACTACAGTATATTACCCTACCCGGCTTGGGTCAGTCAGGCTACGTAGCTATTAATAATACGTAGCAACCCAGCCAGGGGGCGGGCCGTCTACATGACTAACTTTATGGGGCCAGCTGGGTTAAATGATTGGTCCCTGACAGCGAGGACCAGATTTCATGTCAGAAATCTTCGTCTCCCGGCTCTTTTGCTGCGGGACTACTTCGTACACGTCCTCGGGAACTTAAGCCGCCAAGCATACTCGCTCTAGGGGGGCTGTTGGTTGCAGTGTCCATCAACTCCAGGTCAACTACAGAATCCCCCTCTTCGACCATCATGTCCCTGAACCGACTCCCCGCAGAGATTCTGCTTTATATCTTCCGCTTGCTGGGTTCAGCCTTCTTCCGCCAGGATCTTCATCGCCTCCTCATCTCTAAGTGGTGGTATCAACTTGCTTGGCTAGTGTTCCTCCAAGATCTCGACTTCTCCGCAGAATCGCTTCAGAACTTTATTATCGCATCCAAGAGGGAGGGCATGATTGGTTCGATAGAGAACCATGTCGTGACAGTCAGCCTTGGCCTTGATGGCTTCGAGGACTGGCATTCGGCACAAAATGGCGCGGAACCATCAGAGATCGACTTCCACGTCGTCGATACGTGGACATTCGAGTTAAATGGGTGCCTTGCTGCTCTTGCCAGTATACTCCAACGATGTACCAGGTTGCAGTCTCTCAAACTTAAAGCGCGACCGGAGCGCCATGACCCCCGGGCGGGCCTTGCGCGGCGGGATTATTTGAAGGTGTTGCCTCTAGCCGGCCTCGTGTCAATCGGCCATCTTACTTGCCTCGAAATTGATACAGCCGGCACATATCTCCTAGGTGAAAGCAATACCCCCAGAACCTACCTTCACCTTTGCGATGTGATCGGTACAATGCTTCCGACTCTTCGGCGACTACGCTGCCGCATTAGCACCATTTGTCCTTATATCTTAGATGCCCCGGAAAAAGGCCCCCTTCTTAGTCTCGAGGACGTTATTATCAACTTGAGTCTCTCAGAACTCTCTAGCTTAGATACTTCATATAGGTACCCCAACCGCTGTGGGTACATCGTTACAAGCAACGGTTTTCCTCGATTAAAGGCAGATATGGAATCCCACGCGAGAGCGCTGGTGCAGGTAATGAAAAATCCCCGTATTGTCAGGATCGTGTCACACACGTTTCCTGGCATGAAAATGCATTCGTTTGATGCTCTAACGGGACGTAACATGGTACTTGCGCCCGCCGCGCTATGGGATGCCGACGGTGAAGAGGTGGAAGAGAGAGTCGCAGCTGAAGATCTCTTCGACTCTGATTCTTCATCCTAGGAGTTCTTGTTGCAGAGTCTCGGAGGTTGACATGGAAAATAAGATGGATATCATGTTCGACTATAGGCACGAGGAATTACTCAGGACATGAAGCAGAACACGGGGCAGTTTATCATCTCCTCTATTCCCTCGGCCTATTTAATAAAATTTGATTCCTCTATACACGGCAACGAGTTGCTCCCGCGACACATTAGCCCCGTATATAAGGCTAGGTACCAATCGCTCGTTATATATTGCGCGATGTGGACGGCTATAACTGCATCTGTAAGTGATATCGGCCTGTCTAAAGCCGAGAATTATAGAGAGCGTTGTTTTCCGATTTACAGCCGGTGATGATGGTTCGGCTTGATTGAAAAGGTCTTGCAAGCAGTCGCGTATAGTGTTCCTAAAGTTAACGATGATTTGGGTTTCTTCGTCTGGCAAGCCGGGGAACGTAATGAACTCTGGTGAGACGGCTAGACGCTGTAATAGAGCGGTCGCGGTCTGACTCTAATTAATAACATCTGTTAAATTTTTACTCGGCGACGAATAGATGGTTTCTACAATAATGGTCGAAGTGGTATAAGGGGAAAGGGCCATAGAGCTTATCTTTAATAATAATATGAGATATAGCCGTCTTTAAAATCTAGTAAGCGGTCCTCCACTCTATATCTTCGGCATTTGTCTTAAGAGCCTGCGGGTTTTCATCTTGTCTGAGTTTATAGAACCACTCCAGCGATGTTTGGGTGCGTGTCGTGGTCGTGGCCTTATTGTCTCGCTCCCAAGGAATGATGCGGGGAGCCTCATCGTAGGTTTCTCCGCCCTAGATCCGCCCAAGGCAATCAAAAGTCAAATTTTCAAGCTAGAAAAGGACATTTACTAGCTGCCATGCGCTACGTGGTTGGTACTTAGCAGGCACTTAGCTTGCTATAGTAGAGTTAAGAACCCGACCCTTAAGGCACTCTATAAGGACGTATAGAAAGCTAAACCTATTAGACGGCGAAGTATTAAAGAAGAAAACGTATAGAACCGGTATATTTATACGGCTATTAAGTAGTTTTATCGTTGCGATTTCGCTTAGTATATCTATAGTAAATTCGCGGGCGTAAGACGGATCTACTAGTATATAGTAAATCCTAGCAGTCTAGTAGACGCTATCGGAGAAGGCGACCTTTAATACTAGGTTATTTATCCTATATATAAAAGACTTTAAAATAATAGTATAAGAAATGCCTCTTCTTATAGTTTTATCTTAAGCCTTAAGGGAAAGAAGTACTACTACTTATTATAGGCTAAGGCTACTTACTTATTAGCTTCGGAATATATTAATACCTAATACCTATAAGTATCACGACCTAACGAGAATCTTAAAGACCTAATAAGGGTCCTAGTAGGCTATAGACTAATATATAGCTATTAAAAGTTAAGCTTACGCCTATACGTATTAATAGGCGCGCCCCTTATCCCTATAAGCGGAGACGATACTATCGCTATATCCGGAAGCATAGAATGCGGTAGTTAACCTAAGGGATACTAAGAAAGTTACTTAATAGATCCGGATAACTATAAGCTATCGGATTAGTAGGGAAACCTATTCCCCCTTATACTTTATATATATATATATATAGTTATACCTATCGACTCCTTCTTTTAGGTAGGATAGAGTAATATATACCCTCTTTCTTTAATATTAAGACCTAATAACTAGTAATAGTTATAAGCTTAGTATATAGCTATAGCTATTATCCCTTTATATTATTTAATTAATTATAATATTAGGAAGTAAAGCTATTTATAGCCCCCTCTTATTATCGCGTACTCTATATACGTTAATTAACGCTGTCGCTTATATCTAATAGGCGGCTATATCTTTTTTATAAGAGTTATAAGCCCGGGAGGAATAGAATTCCTATACCTTCCGGCTACTATAAAAAGCCCCTTTTACCCCTCTTACTAGAAAAGCCGATTTTTAACCGACTTTTCTACCCCCTTCTTCCGTAACGATATCGAAAAACGACTCCTCTACCATCCCTATAGTCTATAGGATGATTCTTATAGAGCCCTAAGATTAGGATAAGTAGGTAAAGGAGCTATAGGCTCGTATAAATAGAACTATTTATAATTTAGTCTTCTCTAATAAGTAGAACCCTCTTAAGCCCCCTATTTATCCTAGGATAATAGATTTTATAGAGGGAGCTTCCCTCTTCTCCGAGCTAACCTCTATATAATAGAGAGCTTTTTCTACTACCTTAGGTAACTACGAGAGTTATTAAAAGGAATACCTCTATAAAATAAAACTGCTAACTACTGCTTATACGGTAATAACGGAATCTATTAGCTAATCTCTCTTTAAGAAGAAAAGACTCCTAGGTAGTAGCTTTTAAAGCTCGAGACCTCGATAGCTCCCTTAAAGGGCTATATAACTAACCGTATTAGGAAGACCTATACGGCCTACCTAGGAGCCTTTTTTACTAGGAACCTACTAGCTTCTTTATAGCTAGCTAAGTAGGAAGAGATCCTCGAGGAAGCTAATTAATACTTCTTAATAAAAGCTCTTTCCGGCTAGTAGCTATAGGATATATCTCTGCTAATAAAGCCTATTAGTAACGGTTACTCGACTATCTTTCGATAAGCTAGCTAAGAACTAAATAAAGAAGCTACTTAAGTATAATAATTATAATAATAAGCAGTCTTATTCCTTTATAGCTAGCACTCGACCTAGACGGTTCGACCTATAGCCCCTATTACTACGGCCCCCGCTGCTACTACTATAGCTGCTGCTCTTCTAGCTCCTCCTCCCTAGAAAGCCTTAACGTTATCTTTAACTATAGCTACGGCCCCGGCCCCGGCCCCGGCTCTGCCTCTTACTCCGGGCCCGGCCCTAGTCCCGTTAGTTAGACCGGCCCGACTATTCCCTTAATAGACCTTTTAGTCTATTAGTCGAAAAATTAAGGAACTAGTCGAAATCGAACCTCTTTATTAAAATTAATAATAAGGGGTAAAAAGGGGGGGTTTTTAAGCAGACCTTTTAGACCGGGATAAGGATTCCTCGAAGAAATAAATAAGGAGGAATCGACCTACCTACTAAGTATATAAAAAGCCTTATCGGCTAGAAGACTACTATTAAGTCTTTAAGGAAAACCAACCTAAAGGAATTAACCCTTTAAAGAGGCTATAAGAAATAGTATAATAGTTTCTTAAGGAGGACCCCTTATTATAGAAAAAGATAGATAAGATTTAGGTTACTAAGAAATAGTAACTAATAACGCTGCTTCCCTTATTTAAGCTATAAATTTAAGGAAAAATTATTAGTATAGTAAATCTAGCTATTATCTTCCTTACTATTATAGAGTAGGTAGAGGTATATATATAGGTACCGTTTATAAGATAATATTAATAAGCTATATAAAGCTCTTTTATATATAGCTAGCCCGCCCTTATATATATAGGTATAACGACCGGTATTATTCCTAAGGGATAAACCTATCGAGGGGTTTATATTAGTAAATATAATAGGGCGTGGTCTAAGCAATAATAAGTATATTACGTTAGTAATAAGTCGGAGGTTATAGACTATAAACTATAACTAAGTAATTAAGTAATTAGAATTAAAGGTAAGATCGTAATAAAGATCGTAATAATTATAATATTAAAAGCTATCGAGCTATCTATTTAAAGGAGTATTCTATTCCCTCCTTATATACCTTAAGAGCTTCCCTAGATCGCCGAGAGTACTAGGTAATCCTATAGCCTAGGAGCGCTAGAGCACTAATACGATCCTACGATCTTAGCCGTAGAGTATTAGAGCGCTAAAGTAACCTATCGCTCTAAACTTAATTAGCCCGTCGGTCTATCTAATATTCCTTGCTCCCTACGTTACGTGCCCTTATAATATATACTAGTCCCCGCGGTTTGCTAGACTATAGTCGTAATAGGATGCCTCCCCTCCTTTTAGTCTTACCCTTAAGACCTACTACCTTAGCTGCTATATATAAATATACCCTTATTGCGTTATATATAAGTATATTATTCCTTATTCCTTTATCCTTTTAAGATATACTACTAATAGTATATCTAGTTATATTTAAAAATCCTATTTTTATAACTCCGATAAATCGCGTTAACGATTAGAGCTAGCGTCCTAGACCGAGATCTATAGTATTAAAATTATACCTTACTCTTATTATTTTCGGTTAAGCTTAACTTATAAGGTTAGCGAGCGTTCTAATCGGTGTTTTAAATATACCTTTATAGGCCGTTCTTATAATAGTTATAATATAGCGTCCGCTTATTTATTTTATCCCTTTCCTTCCTTATTATTCTTTTCGCTAATATTCCTTCTTTTTTAGTTTATTATATTATAAATTAATAGTAAAAGATTAATTTAGATAAACGGAAAGTAAAAGAAGTATTAAAGGAAGCAATAGCTCGCTTAGCTTAGAATAGGAAATAAAAGCGTTTCCTAAAAGACCGAGGTAGTAAGTTATTTTAGCGGGGTATATAAGCTATTAATAAAGAAGATAGTATAATGCGTTCTCCTTAAGATAAATTAGTTCGTTTATTAAATAAAGAAACTATTACTATTAGCGAGGTTTAATTATTTAGTGCCTTAGACGTATTAAACTAAGATACTATTCTTAGTAACCTTATATTTCTAAGTAAAGGTTCGCTTAGTAGAACTATTAAAGTAGAGAACTATAGTAGGTTAAATACTTAAGTAGCTTCTATATATTTTCCTCTAGTTTATATCCTTTCTATTTAATAAGGTATTCTTATTACTAACCTTATTTTCTTATATCTAGTATTTATTTTATTTTATATTCTTAATTATTATTAACTTCGATTTTTTCTTATAGTTTAGCTTTTTATAGCGCTAGTTCTAATAATAAGATATAAAATATTAGGTATATCCGTGTTATTATTAGTAGTATAAGTTTATAGTTAACTTTTAAAATAGTTTTCTTAACCTTAAATAGTTTAAGGTTCTTAAAATCTAATTTATTACTTAGTTATTTTATTTTAATATTTCGTTATACGAGGTAGACTATATCTCTCTCTTAAAAGATTAGTCCCTATAATCTTTTCTAATTATAGTAAGTAGATATTTATTCTCTAATAAATTAAAGTTCTTATTATATCTATTTATATAATCTTTATAGTTAATCTACTTATAGTATTACTTATTCCGCTTATAGTCCTTATTAAGTAACCTTAAATGCTTCTAGGTTATATCCGTAATTAGTATATACTAGTAAGAGCTTAGTTATTTCTATAACTAAGCTATTATAAGTTAGTTTTACTATTAGTAGCTATTTAACTTAATTGTTTTATTTATAGCTAATATAGTATTATAAATATTATTTAAGCGTTTAGTTAAGTCGTTTTATTTATCTATCTATTTATAAGTAATAAGCTATATTAAGCTTATATTTCGTCCTTAATTATACTATAAGAGCTTACTAAAACTTAGCTATAAATATACTTCCTCTATTAAAGATAATCTTATTTAATAGTTTATAATTACTAATAATTATTTATAGGGATATATATATTAGCTCTTCTATATTACTTACTTCTTTATATAGTAAGAAGTATCTATACTTTATTAATTAATCGGTAATAATAAATATACTATTATACTTAACGTTAGTTATAAGTTCTTTTAATAGTAGTAGCTTTATAATATAATTAAAAGCTATTAAATCCTATAGTTTCTCTAGTACTAATAGCGGTTATAATTCTCTATATAGCTTATATCGTTTAGCTTTACTTTATATATAAAGTTTATATTTTTTAACAACTTATTATACTACTTCCTTAAGCTATAAAAAGTTATATTATTATTTAATCCGTTTTATTATTCTTTAGATTCCTTAGTATCTATATATTAAATATTTATATATATCTTATATAACTTTATCTTATAACGCTAGTAGTATCTAAATTTTTTTCTTATATATTAAAACTTCTAAATATTTTATATTATATCCCTTTAATACTTTATATTCTTTTATTTATTTTAGGATCTTTTAGTATATTAAGTTATTAGGTTATACTTTAAATATTATATTTAGCTATTATTACTAGTAGTTCCTATTTTTATTAATTTCTAAGAGCTATCCTTTTACTATAGGTGCTCCTATATTATAGTTACTTTATTAACTAAAGGTATTAGCTTAACCGTTTTCTATTTCTTTTCTATAGATTATTTTATAGTTAAATTCTAATAAATATTCGGCTTATTAGATCTATCGTCCGTTTAACTATTATATAGTTATAAAGTATAAGATGTTTTTATAATCTATATAGACCTTAACTTTATACTTACTTTTAAGAAAGTAGTATCGAAGTTCCTTAAAAGCTTAAATAATTATAAGGAATTCTTTATTATAGATAAGGTAATTAAGCTCTATGCTATATAGCTTTTTTAAGTAAAATATAATTAGTTATAGTCTTCCTTTATTATGCTTTTATTTAATTTATACTCTTAAAGTAAAGTCTAATATATTAGTTTTAAGTTCGATTTATCGTTTTAGATTAAAGGTAGTTAAGACTAGTTCTTATATAATTATAGTCTTAATATATTTAAAAGCTTCGTTAGCTTTATTATCCTATATAAATTCTTTTTCCTTCTTTATTACGTTATATAGTAGTGCTATAATCTTTCCTAAATCTTTAATAAATCGTTAATAGTAATTTATAAATCCTAGGAAACTTTATATATCCTTAACGTTCTTTAGCGTTAGCTATTCTTTAACTAAGTTAATCTTATCTTATTATATTTATATCTCTCTTAGTAAGATTATATATCTAAGGAAGTCTACTTCTATTAAGTTATACCTAGTAGACCTAAGAGAGTAGGTATAAGAGGCTATAGTTATGCCTAGTAGACCTAAGAGAGTAAGTATAAGAGGCTATAGTTATACCTAGTAGACCTAATATTTATATATAAGGAAGCTTACCTAACTAATATAACTCCCCTAGCCTAAGGATATTATATAGGCCTAACTTAGGTATAGGAATATCCTAATACCCTCTTTTAGC